ACTATTCATTACATAATAGAAATACTTATTTGGGATATTAATATCCTATTATTTAATTTATATCATTCTTAATTTGTAAATTGTATATAAATAATAAGTATAAAACATTTTCATATTACATAAAAAAATTCTCATTCTTACAAATCCTCTTTTTCAAACTATAAGTTAAAAAATGGGAAATAAATAAATGTATCTATAGGATGAAAACAACTTTATTACTATAATATTGTATCATTTTCGTCGTTGAATGTTGTGATTATAATTATTGAAAAGTATAAAATATTTCGAATGTTTTCAAATAGAGTGGCAGCGTAATTTCAAAAATCATATTTACAACCATTTGACCAATCGTCATCTATTGCTTCCACAATAACTTTATCACAATTTATATCGTACAGTTCTTTACAATAAAGACATATTTTTTTTACCTATAAAATTGTTGTTGATGCTGTGACCATTGTGTTTGTGGTGGTGGAGCTTGTTGTTGTGGAGGTGGTGGACCATATGATGGATCTTGTATGTAACCTGTTGGAGATGGCCTTATTGAAGTTGGTGTAGAAGATACATACTGCTGCTGTTGTGGTGGTGGTGGTGGTGGTGGCACATAAGATACTTGAGCAGGATGTTGTGGTTGTGGATAGTATTGTTGTGTTTGAGAAACAGGAGGTGGTACATTATATCCTCCATAATTAACTTGTGGAGGTGGAGGAGGATAATAATGATGACTTTGTTGCGTGTGTATGTCATGTGTTGTTATAGCTGTATCCTGAATAGGCACAGTTATAAGATTTGTCCTTAATGTAGCATTATTTGGCGGCGGAGGTGCAGAATTTTGAGAATAATTTTGCATTGATATTAACGCCTGCGGTCTATGTTGTTGTCTATGCTCCACTGGAGTTTGACTGACCATTGAATTTACTCTAGGATCATTTCCCATTATTGGTTGAACCATATGTGATTGCACTGATTTTATGCGAGTATTTTGCATAGCAACTGATGAAACTTTTGTCAACTGAGACTCTATTTCTGATTTAGAATGCACGTATTGAGGAGGATCAACTTGCATTCCTTGAACTTGTTGTGGTGGAGCCGATATATGTCGATGATTTATATGAGCCTATATATATATACAATTATATTAATATATTTATATGATTTAAATAAATTAATCAAAACGGAGGTCAAAAGAAATCACCTGCAAATCTCTTTGACTAAGATATGTTCTTCTACATCCTGCATTCCCATATCTAGTTCCTCCATGTGTACACATAAATACAGTACCCAAGCCAGTTTGTTCTACTCTAGAGACTTTTTCCATGCAACGAGGACAAACTTTGTCTTCTCTTTTGGCACATGATAAGCAAAATACATGTTTGCAAGGTATCTAAAGCAAAAATGTAACTGTAAGAAATATAATTGTGACACAAACTACTTTATAATAATTGATTCTATTTCAAAGGCTATTATATTTTTTTTTCTTTTTCTTTAAACTTTACTTAAAATCTTTCTTTAAACTTAGATATTAAAAATTTATAGGTTATATTTTAACTTAGTTTATATTTATTTTAATATTTTCTTCACAATGAAAACACTCACCATGCGTCCATAGATAAGAATTGGTTTCAAACACTTATCACAGCAATGTATCATAGGATTTAACACTTTTTCTCCAATAAGATTTACTCTATGATCCCATCTTAAACGTAACATTGGTTCAGGAGGTCCTCTGTTGATGGTTGTGAAAGTTGGTGCTTCCAATTGTGATATATCGGCTTCCAAATCGAACTGTTGTTCCAAAGGAATCTGTTGTGTTGGTGGAGCTTCATGTTCTTCTAATTCTGTTCCAACAACTTCTGTTGGAGTTTCTTCTACTTGTTGAGGAGTATCTTCTTCATCACTTTCAATAACCTATTTGAAATGTATATACAATGACATAGAATGTATACATTAAACAAATAAATTACTAAAAATTAAAAATTTCGATTTACCTTCACTTGTTTCTTAGATCTGCCTCTAGCTCTTCCTCGTGTTCTGCCACGGGCTCTACCACGAGTTCTGCCTCTCATTCTTTTACCACCATCTTCCTCCATCACTAAAATTATAAAAATTCAGTGATCTAAAATCATCTACCACTAACTTTTTACAACATATGATCAAAGAAAAAGAAAAGAAACATAAAATTGCACACATAATCAAAGAAAATACACATGAGCTATTATTTCAAAAATTGAACAAATATATCATTTGCAATGAAAGTATGGTTTAACTTTATTAATTAATTCGATACGATTTAACAAGGTAAATTTTTATTTCAAAATTGTGTGTCAAAAATAATGTACTTACCTGATCAAATAGGTTATATTTCTAATTCTAGACAATAGAATTTGATATCAGTGATCATTATTACAATAAAAATATTTACTGAAACAAACACAATGCTCCGAAGAATAAAATGCTTGTACTTTACAATAAAAGAAATTGAACTTTTTTTATTATTCGACTATTTTGTGCCTCTCGTCGATTTTATTATTCCACATACATGAATGAAGAAATAAGTTGAGTACAATCTTCATTGTAGTAATCCATGTGACGTAGTTAGTACTTGCTGTTACCCTGGAGACGAATCTGTTCTATACAAAACACAATACCGTACATTGAAAATAAGTCTCCTGCGTCTTTCTGATTTTGTTAATATTTGATTAACGTTAACTAATGTGAGCTGATTTAATTTTGTAATTTTACTCTTTTGCTTGAATTACTCCAAATGTAATTAACGTAATGTTAAACAAAGAACACATCGAAATAAAATTATCATATTATATCCAATATTCATGACTGCAGATAACTTCAAGGTAATCCAAGGAGGGAGTAGCTCTGAAATCGAAGACAACTCTAGTGTTTTTAACATAGTATTTAAGTGCCTTATTTTGTAATAATAATTCAAGCTTACGAAATGTCTTGCTGTTCGGGAGACGAGGACGATGAGCAACGGCCTGAGCCGACACGCGTACGAGGATGCACCGATATTTTTTGGCTTTGTTGTTTTATAGTATTTTGGTTTCTTATGGTATGTAAATCAAAATTTATCGTTAAATTTTATCTCACAAGACATGAAAGTTAAAAATAAGACATAGACATTTTATGTAATAAAGTATATACAGTTCTTTTTATACAAGCGTACTACTTGTTATTGGTGAAACATACTACATACAGATTAAACATATTACATTACAGATTTTGATAGCAGCCTTTGCTCTTGTTTATGGTAACCCTATACGACTTATAAACGGATATGACAGCTTTGGAAATACTTGTGGAATGAAAAATAATCCAAAGTTTGGTAGTATGGAGTTGTCTGGACAAGATACCAGTGATAAACCGTTTAGTATTAATATGAAAATAATGACTTTTCAAGAATGAAATATAGGCAAAAACTGTAAACAAAAATTATTTTTTTGAAATTAATTATTTCAGATACCTGTTTTTTTTGGATATATACAACGTCACCCAGTCTTTAAAAATTTGTGTCAAGAAGTGTCCAGATCGAACTATGACAAGAATGAACGATATATGTAAATTTTACGAAGAAACAGGATCTCAACTTTGTCATGACAAACCTGGAAATAATTTCAGTGCTTGTAGCAATGGGAACAGAAAAAATAAAACTGGCTCTTGTCCGGGATTACCAGTGTATAATAGTACACCAGTTCTTAACCGTTGTATTCCTAAGGCTATAAAAGATGTAGGTGAAACTATAATTGCCAATTTGTATGGCCTTATTAATTCTTGGGATATTATTGAGCAAATTTTGGGAGATTTGTATAAAACATGGAGAGAGATTTTATCTTTATCCTTTTTAGCTTTCGGTATGAAATTTACCATATTTCTGCTAATTCTGTATCTTTTTTACAAATAATTAAACAAAATGTTTTATTTCAGTTTTATCACTTTTTATGATTGCTATATTTCATTTACTAGCAAGTATTGTAACATGGATTGTGATGATTCTTGCCAGTATATCAACTATAGGTAATTATTGAAATGCAAAAAATGTGAAAAATATGGTTATTTAGATTCTTATTCAATGAATTATTTAACTATATAGCTGGAAGTGCATTATTATGGTGGACATATATAGAAATTAAAAGAACTTTAGATAAAACTAATCCGAATCAGCTTTTAGAGGAGTCTGTTAGAAATGAAAGAGCATTTTTAGCTTTTTCTATTATTGCAACAATAATAACTGTAAGTCTAATTATTAGTTAATTTCTTTTATGATTAGTTCAAACACTTGTTTTATAAATTTTCATATGTTTCAGGTCATTTTGTTATTACTTTTAAGTATATTGCGCAAACGTATTGGATTCATGACAGCATTATTTAAAGAAAGTGCTAAATGTTTAGCAGAATTACCAGGTTTATTTTTTCAACCTTT